GGGGAGCCGATGCTCCTGCAGTCTGCCATGGCTGTACCCGAGGGACGGCGGGAGCACCCTCTCTTCTCACAGAGTGGATTCCTGAGGCCGGTCAGCCTCCGCTGCCTGTCTGAGCAGGCCCATGCTGGACAGGACATGCATCCGTACCGCTTGAGGCCGTGGGCTTCACGTGTGCCTCATGAGGCAGAGCCCAGACCGGTAGGCACTGGCATGTCTGCCAGCCCTGGTAAGCACGCAGAGCTCATCAGCGTTCCTGGCCTCCGGCTGCAGGATGGCTGGAAGCGGGCTGATGGGCTGGGGGGAGGAGGGGACCCGAGCGGTGGGGGAACACCCTTCTCCCCTCATGCAGGGAGCGGCATCCTTGCCCACTTAGCCCAGAAAGAGCTTTCCCTCTCCTCTCAGTCCACTCCAGCCATGCAGGGCTATGATGTGCTGCCCAACTGGGGACCTCCGAGGGTTGGAAGGCCTCGGTCCTCCCTGGCATCAGTGACCTGGAGCTCTCACCCGAGAGGCAGAGGCTCCTCTGCCTGGATGTTGATGTCTTGCTGCACTTTGGGTTGAAAGTTTTACTGCTCAGGGCTTCTTGTTTTTAACAAAACACTGGGAACGGTTTGTCCTGAAGAACACATTGTAGTTAGCAGAGATAAAGCACCTCACATACCTGGTTTATAACAGAGATGGTCCGTGATGTCTCTTTATCAAAATCGTCATTCTTACCAGCTTGCAGTATTTGACAGATTCTGAGGACCTTGCTGGTATTCGAGTGTTGTGGTGAGGAGGCCCCGAATGGTGCAGCTCCCGAGCGGGGAGGCTGTGTGCCCTTTTCTGCTGTGCACGTGGCGGAGCGTCAGTGCTGACTCCCAGTGCTGCAGCAGCTAACGAACTTATCGGAGGCATCTCTGCTCGCTGTCTGCTGCTGATGGAGGGATGATCGTTGGTTCAGCTGAAAGTTGCACGCTGATGTAACACAGCCAGACAGTTTGGATAAATAAAACATGAAAGATGAATCAGCAGCGACCACTTCATCTACTGTTTGCTGTGCCAGAACCATGTTAACTGATAACATTCAGGCTTTGCAGCATCCAGCATTCCTTGCTGAGATGCCCTGGCCAAAGAGGGGATGGGGGCATGTGGGAGCTGCCCGACCTTGGCCACTTTGCATGAGCAAAGGACCTGTGCCACGCTTGTGTGTGGTGGGACAGGGCTGCAGGCGTGGTGGCCCTCCTGGTAAGGAGTTGATCGTGAAATGCAGAACCTCCAAAACATAAACTCAGACCTGATCTCCCCTTGTTTCAGAGGCTGCAAATTTAAATATGGTTTAAAATATTTCAGTGTAATAATCAGAGAGCAGAGGTTTGCCTGAAATACTCTGCCAGATAAAAAGTAAAGGAGGTACTTAGCAACCAGTAACAGTAAAACACACTGATGTGGTTTGATGGCTTAGGATGAAATTTTAATTGTTCTATATTGCGTTTCTGTTTATAAAGGCTGTGCAGTAACTAAAGTGTGTTTTTTCTTCCATACGTGAATCCAAATTATTGGCAGCGATGCTGGCTTTAACGAGAACTGCAAAGAAAATCTGGTCTCTAAACAATTGTGGAGGCTGTCATTCTCAATTGTGTTTTGAGCTCTTCAAGCCTTGATTAATAGGATAAGGCATCAGTTCAGAATTCATATGGACTCCAAATGAAGTTCTTCATTCCAAATGGCCTGCTCTTCTGGAGTGTGCTGTGTTTGGAGCTAGAACCATGTCTATTCAGTACTAATTAGCTAATGCATGTAATGACTTTGGCTGTGTCTGCATGAACCATCTTCCCGTAATGCTTTCTGCTGTAACTGTCACAGAAATGTCATGTTGCTGTTGTAGATGTGGAGTGTGTGAGAACTAAGGTGACTCACTTAGTGGATGAGTTGGTGGAGGTAATACTTTCAACTGCCGTGTTTCCAAAGGGAAGAATTTGATTCTGTTTCCAAGGATTTAGAAGTATGGCAGTGGATGAGGTGTGAGAATCTGTAAGTGCTGACAGTTGTCTGGTATCTCCTAGTCAATCATGGTGTAGTTCCTGCAGAAGGAACAGTTGCAAGTGTTGGCCTGATACCTCCTTACCGTTTTTGAAGTTGGTGGTCTGATACCATGACAAGGCGTCTTGGGGTTCAGTAGGCGAGGAAAGCTGGATTTGAATTTGGTGATATTGTCATAATCAACTGTTTCTATTCTCTCTCCAAAGAGTCATTTAGGCAACGTCTTGGTTGATATGAAGCTCATTGATATCAAGGACACTTTACCCGTGGGCTTCATCCCCATCCAGGAGACCATCGATACACGTAAGTTGGCATCTGTTCTCTGGTCCCATGCCTTGGGAGCAGCTGCTGCACTGGTGCCAGCGTGTCCAGGCGATGGAGGGCTGTGTCCAGGCACAGGGATGCTCTCAGTGCTGCTGCTCTCTGGGGTTACATGAGCATGTTTAGGGGCAGCTCTGCACTGCAATGAGACAGCCTTTGATTTTCCAGTACTCTTCAGGCTTTTTCACACTGCTGCCTGCCTGACTCACCAGTTCTCCTGCTAGAGCAGCACAGCTCCAGGGCGGGATGGAATACTTCATGCTTTCCTTTTGCAAGGGTGGACAAGGGTAGTGGGAGCAGAGCTGCTGTGCCGAGGGATGTTCACAAATGGATACCGAAAGAAAAGGCTTGTGCTTGTGGTTCTGGGTTCATGGCTTTACACCTCCCTCCATGAACAAATGCAGGCCCTTGTGCTTGGTGAGAGAAGGCCCAAGTGAAATGTCCAGGGAAAATACCATCCTCGTTTCTGCAAGACAGAAACGGCTTTGCTGCAGCATTTAAACCAGCAGTTCCCAACCAGTGTATTGGGATCCCCCGAGACTCGTCGCCGCTTGGCAGCAGGCATCAAGCGCGTCGGGCTCACGGTGCGGAGGCGGCTGGACGAGCCCCCGGGGAGCCGAGCGTGGAAGGGCTGCAGGACACCGTGTTGGTGCTGAGCGTGCAGCTACTGCGCGAGAGCAGGGCTGGCACCAGTGCTCGTCAGTAACGAAATCCAGCCTGGTTATGAGTAGGAAGGAGTTACGTGAGCCTGCCTTTTCATCCAGATCTGCAGCAGATGAGGATGGTTTGTCAGTCACTACTGACCTGGTTCTGATGTGAACCCGTGACCTAGAATCGAAAGGCTCTGCAGCCCGTTTCCCATTCCCCTGGGTCACCCCCTTTCCCTGGAGAGTTCCTGGGTGCATGTGACACGGGGGAGAGTTGGCTTATCCTGCTCACCCTTGGGGCTGCCAGACATTTACCGTGTGCTGCTGTAATTTTTGTGAAAATCCTGGTGGAAAGGTGGAAGGAGACTTTGTGATTAATTTAAAATGCATTGGATTGCAACCCATCCAATCTTCAAAGCAGAGGCACTGTCTGTATTAACGAAGTGGTGCATGTCCCTGCCTCTGTTAGCATGAATGAACGCATTTCGATTGACTGTTTATAATATGTTTGCTTAAAATTAACTCTGGTTAAATATGTGTAATTAATGAATCCAGCCCCTAAACCAAGTTTGCTATAGACTGCAGGCTCTAGCCAAGTGTGAAAGAGACCGAAGACAAAAGCAAATAGTCAGCTTTTTACTTACTGTGGAAGTCAAATAAGAGGCACTGATTTTGTTCAGAGTTAAATTTGTGGTTATGTGTGTTTCTGTGCTCTTTAAGAGTGACAGTTGACTTGTAGTACTGTATTTCATATAGTACTCTCTACGAGGTTCTGAGAAAGTTTTCAGATGTGGAAGCCTTGAACTCTGGGCTCCTAAAATCTGGTTTAGGCATTTCAAAGAAAAGCCTTAGTTTTGCAAAGCAGGAGGAGACTAGACTTCAGGGATACGGGTATTTAACATCTCTGACAAGCAGCGCTGAAGCTGCAAAGCTGCACGCACAGATGCTGCGTTGTGACGCACCTCGCGCTGCCTGTGCGGTTAGTGGTGCTGGTGTGACAGCACGTTTCGGAGGCCGGGATGGATGGCTTTCTCCAAGGTGTGGATTACAAAGCAGGAGGAGCCTATAGAGACAGGGCTGCTTGCCATCTGTTGAAGTGAGAGCGTGTTTTTAAGCTGGAGCATATTTATTCATATTAAACTGAAAGGTTTTATTTTGCAGGCACTTGTTCGTAGCTGTTGGTTGTTTCCAGATTTTCATTCAGTGCCTGCGCTTTAGATTTTCAGTTTATCCATAGGCTTCTGTCATGTCTTTCAAGTGCCTGCATTCACAAACAAAAACCTGACCTTGCTCACACTGAGACTCTCGCCGATGCTTCAGGGTGAGAGCGTGATGGTTTCCCAGCACCACAAAGGGGTACCTGTGTGCCAGTACCACCCGTTGTCCTGTGAGTGACCCGTGGCTGGGTGTGGGTTGTACCTGCAGACAGACAGCATGCATGTACATGAATTCGTGATACAGATAAGCCTTAACTCTGATGGGCTTGAGTTCTTCTTGATGGATAACATGGAAACAAGAGAAATCTCTCTGCGGTGCATAGCAGGAAAGGGCCATGCAGGAGGTTATCCACGCTCTGAGCACAGGTCAGTGCAGCAGTTGCCCCGTAGGAGGTCCTGGCAATTCCTGCTTTGCAAATCTGGTTTATCCCTACGAAGGTACCAGGGCAGACTCAAAGGGAGTATCACTTCAGTGCCTGCTGACTGAGCCGGGAGAGGTCACTAACACCCGGGATGTGTGAGGTTCGGGCAGACAGCTTTTACTGTTAGCCACTCTGCATGGCAGTGGGCTTTTCCGCCTGCTTCTCCTCTTGGTTTGGTTGGCTGTTCGGAAGCACTTGGCAGAAAAAACTGACCAGTTGTGTGGCCTCCAGGTAGTTCCTAGAGGCAGTGCTTGTGGGAGGAATGTTTAGATATGACTATCCAGGCCAGTAAGGCAAACATTACCTTGGAAAGAGAAAGTGCGTGTGGGAAGTATGTGGAAGTGGAAAAATCAGCGGCCGTTTCTGTTCTGTGGTGCAGTACTGTGGCGTACATGATGTCTTATCTTCTCTGCAGAGGGTAGCAGGGAGTATTGGTTTATCGCAGTGCCTAATAACAAATCTCACGCAGCGTACAGAGAGCTCCTGATAGAAAATTTCTCCAGTCACTGAATGGCACTGCACTGTCTGGTTTGCTGACATATATCTGTTCCTTGGCTCCAGTTTCTGCCATAATTATCTGCCTAATATCTGGAGAGACAATAAATAACATTTATACCCTAATCTTGCATAAAAACCACCCTGTGTCCTGGGTTGTTTTTGCAGAAGAAATAGCTTTCAGAAAGAAGAGACTGTGCATTAAATTCATCCCTCGAGATTCTACAGAGGCAGCGATCTGTGATATCCGAATCCTGGGTAGATCTAAACAAGCCCCTCCTCAGTACACGTTCATAGGGTAAGTGAACTCCAGAAGCTGTTGTCATAAATTCAGTTGTGCTGAGGCTAAGCACCCTGTTTTCCTATTATAATTACTAAGTAGTAGTTCGTGAGAGCTGAGCTTGTCATTAGAAAGTCTATGTAAGTACAAGTGTTACTGAGTTTGATGTAGGAATTAACTAACCTCTTTTTTCTTTTTTTTCCCAATTAGACTGGTTCTCACTAATCAAGGTGTTTGTGAACCACATCAGCGCTTGATACTTGTGCACGTGTGCAGCATTTGCTAATAGTGTTAATGTCTTCTGTGTTGGTTACACAGGGAGCTGAACAACATGGGCATTTGGTACCGGATGGGCAGAGTTCCACGCAACCATGAATCTTCGCAGCCTGCGACTCCCCCTTCCCAAGCACCATCTTCCACACCAGCTCCGAACCTGCCCAGGTGAGTTTTCTGCTCTCCAGCCCCTTCTGCTTGATGGTGTGTGATGCAGTTACTAACCTTGCCTGGTGGAATCAAGACCAGGGTACCGCATCGGTGTGCATGATTGTGGTGTGATCTGATACTGAGGGAATGTGTTGTTCTTTCAAGTGTTTGCCTACTGGAAGTTCCTTTGGCTGCTGTTGTTTAAAGATGTGAGAGTAAAGAAGTCAGAAGAAAGAGAAAGCCTGCAGAGGGAGGGGAAAACAGCAAAAACTACACCTCTTCTTTGCTTTAAACTATGGGGCATGTTGTAGTTTGCAGCAGGTACCCATGGGCCACCCTGGAGAGTGGGCCAGAACTGCAGCCAAGCCAATGTCTCTCCTTGACCAAAGGGAGGGAGGAACGTTCATACAGGTTTTAATGCCTAGGGAGGCAAGTTTCGCCTGTTCTCCAGAATCAGTCCACTCATGGTTTGAAGTACTGGCCCTGTTTTTTTTTTCTTGGACCCAACTACTGTGCTGCAGTCTTGCAGCTGTCATTGAACGTGCAGAGCAGACTGCTCCTGCCACAGAGACTGACAGGAGCAGCACTTCTGGGCAGATGTTGGCATAGTGTCTGTCCAGGTGGTTTTCCCTGTGTTAGAGACAGTATTTGTGTGTGTGTATAGATGTATGCACTGGGGTGTATACTTACTTACAACAGTAGTCCTGTATTGAAAGCTTACTTGTTGGATTTCTTGGGACAACACAAGAGTGTTGTTAAGCAACAAAGCCCCCAGACAGAGGCTAAACTGAGCGCTTTATACTGCTGGTGCTTGGTGTGGAAGCACAGCATCATCCAGCATGAGGTGGGCTCCTGCTGGTGAGCCTCAGTGACGGAACTCTGGGCCAGGCTGTTGCTGAGGGACAGCATGTTCTCTGTGGGTCCCTCTGGGCTTTTGCTTAATTAAGCGAACACGTATTTTGCACCAGGCGTTTGATATGCTGCAGGTACGTTTACAGTATGACAAGAACCGCTGAGAGCTAGAATTTCACAGGAGGCAGCGGAGGCAAGTTCCAGGGGGATCGGTTTGTGAACGAAGGTCATGGTATTGTATGGGTGGAAAATACTCGTGTTCTTCAGAGTCTTGATTTGCAGGTTGTCTTGGAGAGTGACGCTTTCAAACTGCTGTAAGCTATTCCCAAAAAAGCTGTCGGGTATCTTTTTAAGGCAGATGTGTACATTTGAGCCTTCACCCGTGACCCCGACTTAAACCTGCTGTCTTGCGGTGGCTCTGTGAACTCTCCGAAGCGTTTGGGCGTTTCTTTCACTGAGGGTTTTGCTCAGTTGCCTGCCGTGCCGTGGCACGCTGCCTGCTGTCCTCTGCTGTCAGGGGTGCTGCCGGCAGAGATGCCGTCTTGCTTCTCAAACAGAGACGGAGGCAACAGGGATGAAACGCCGACAGTCTTCTGGAGACTTCAGCCTGTCCCACCGGGGGCTGATCCGTTGTTTTGAAGCTCCGCTGGACATAAGCTACATGCTAGCAGAGGCCACGCCAGATCAGAGAAAAAGATGTCTTGATTTTTAGAGCACGGATCTTCATTTTTTTTGTCTGCAAGAAATTCTGCCTGGGCAGATTTCCACAATAAAGAGAAAAAATTATCATAGCGAGAGAATGTCAATGGCAGTCCTTAATCACTAAGTGTGGAAGGGTCACTTTATGGCCAAGCAGGGAAGGCTGCAGAGCAGCGTCAGAGCTGTTGGGAACAGGGCCAAAATTAGAGCTCAGAGCATCAGCGACGGTCTGAAAAGAAGTGTTTACAAGGCTTATATATTTTATAACCTCTTGTTGTACAGTTTATGGTTTACAATGGCTGCAAGGAAATTGGATCAGTTTTGTTTTACTTGCCAAATAAAGCAAATGTCAAAATAGTCAATATAAAATGTATTCTAATTTGGCTGAGTTAAAACAGCCAGTATGCAGTGGAATAATTGAATGTTACATTAATGCCTCCTAGTAAAAACCACCTGTCTGTAGCCAGCTCCACTCTCGTGCCCTGCGCATGATTTACAGGTAACTTTTACACCACCAGCCTGATCATTCAAAGCATCTTTCATGTCTGTTTTTTTACTCTGATTATTTATTATCCAATATATTTTTTAAGAAATAGAAATGTATATAAAGGTGCACCCTGCAAATATTTCATTATTACGGGGAACACATACTACTTGAGAGCCTTCTCTAATACATTATCAGCAATGTGGTAACTTAACACCTAATGTTTGTGGAACACTGTAGTCACAAGTAACCTCTTAGTTTTACGTCAGCATAGAGAGATGAGATTACCCCGGTAGCCAGTTTGCTGGTTTATTCCGTGTGGATATATCCTGGCAGGAACAACAGCGAGTTACTCTGATGCTGCTGAGCGCGCTAAGAGAAAGCAGGTGAGCAGTGCCAAACAGAGCACTGTGGAGATCCTGCTGTTAGGCTGGTCAGATGTTTGAGCTATTCTCTTCAGTTGCTGTCTAGCATTATAAAATTATTTTAAATCTGGAGAGTATGCTTGGGTGCTTCAGAGGAATTGCTAACACTGGCTATAAACTAAACCAGTGAAACACACCAGAGAGCTTCGGCACAGCAAAACCTTCCTGCATGGAAGAACTTTTTACTGTGGGAGATGTTTATTTCTGCGCCAGCCGTGTTTCCTCCTGTGATCCCTGATGTAAGTTACTGATGGCAGCGGATGGCGGCACATCGATTTTGTCATGTGTCAGAGGTTTGACCTCCACAGCTTGCTGCACGTCAGCAATGCTGCTTCCGCTGCTCGTGTCGCGGGGTTACGGCTCGCAGTCAGAACTGCACAAGGGGAGGCTTTGTTTGATATTCGTGCTGGACTACATGTGGTATTTTTCAGCCGTTTCTTCTCCTTGGTGTTTCCTAGTGCAGGCATCTGGCTTAATGGTCTCTAGCGGCAGCCCTGGCGCATCCCAGTGAGGATGGCATGCTGTGCCGCGGAGCACAGCCGTGCCATTGTGCACGGCATCAAGCTGCTTTACTGTCTTTTCTCTCCAAACTCTGCGACAGCTTCTTGGCACTAATGGCAGCCCGGAGAAATGCACTTGCAGTTTCCCATCCTAGAAGGCTGCCACTAAAGAACTGCTTTTGTTGCCTCGAGTCACGGGTGGGAGTTTAATGTCACTTTGCTCCGTACCTCTGCTCTGGGTTCAAGGCCCGCGCTCTCCCGTGCTGCGCAGTGGCACCTCTTTCGGGGACAAGCAGGTCATCCTCCCCCGAAGAGGTGCGAGTAGCAGGTAACTCACGTGGCCCTTTGCACGCTCCTGCCTGGCCCAGCCTGCGGTTGGGACTCGGAGAAAAGTAACGTCATGAGTGTTTGAGCAGTGTCTCGGGGCGCAGCCGCTCCGTGCCTCACGCTCGCTGGAGCAGGATTTGTGCGTGGCGTTCTTTTCGTGAGCCCCGTTCCAGCCTTTTGGGAGCAGGTCCCGGACTCCCGTGAACGCACACAGAGCCAGCCTCGAACCGTTGTGCCTTGCGGCTGCCCGCGCGACGGCTCCGGTCGCGGCCGCGGTGCTTTGTGAGCCCCCGTGGTTGCCGTGGTTCGGGAGCACGTTGCGAATCCCTTCCCGAGGTGCTGCAGGAGTCTCCACCGCCGTCATTCGAACCGCCCTCGCAATTTGTCAGCTGTGAGCAAGATGTCAGTCAGTGCTGCTGAAGTGTGTTTTACAGTGACAGACATAATTGCGCTTAACTTTTTGCGTGGATGTTATCAATCTGTGACGGATACTTTGGGAAATGGAGCACTCTGATTGCAGATGATGTGTCACAGGCGTTTAATCTTCCTCTCGGAGAGACCGGGATTCAGTCACAACTTTTACTTGTTGATGTCAGGTTTTGAAAATGTAGATTCGTGCTGACCCTGGGAATCGTTCAGTCATTTAGTTTGCAGGGCTGTCATCGGAAAGGTTAATGGCTTACCAGGGAGGAGGAAGATCTTGCTGCAATCCACTTACATTCATATCATGCGTTAGCGTGGCTGGGCACTCGGCGTTTCATTTTGGAAGGGCAGAACTCCCCTGGCTGCCTTCCAAGGGTGCCTGTGGCATGTCTGCATGGCTGTTCTGATTGAGAACCGCAGAGGTAGGGCAGGCTGGTCCTGGGGCTGGGTAAGCCCAAGCTGCAGGTCTGGGTGGGGCTCACGGTGCCCACGGCTGTCCAGGAGGCAGAGCTGCGAGTCGGTTGCTCGTGCTCTGGACTGACCAGAATGGCACACAGGTGAGTGAAACAGTGTCGGCCCTGAGTGCAGCACCTCTGAGCATGCCTGGAGCAGGGCTGGTGGGACGCCTGGAGCAGGGCTGGTGGGACGCCTGGCCTGGCTGGGAGAGGCCAGTGGCCTGGGAGCACCACAGCTGCCAGGGGAGTTGCCATCCTGGTGGGGTAGCAGTTGGGAACGCAGCCCCGTGCCAGTCTGTCCTGGGGAGGTGGTGGCCCCTCTGGATGGTGCCTGTGGGGCTCTGCCCCAGCCCAGCAGCAATGCCCAGGGACAGGGCAGCATGTGTGCTGCTGCCACTGCGGGCTCTGCAGGCGGTGGGGCTGCATGCCGTGCCAGACTCGGGGCCCCAGCACACGCCTGCTGCGCTTGTAGCCCCTCCTGATCCGCACGGCTCATGGGCTGCAGAAACAGCTCGTTTGTGCTGCAGCTGACACCCCTTGCAGCTGTGGGTCTGCAGTGTGGCCAGCAGCCGTCCCTCCCCACGCGCCCTCTCCGTGCTCAGAGCACTGTCAGTCTGTGCCACCAAGTGCTCAGGCCTTGAAATACTGACCTGGCAGGAGATTGCAGCGGGGAAGTGCTGCTCCGATTTCGGTAAGATAACAATTGCCCTACTTAAACCCCTGAAATAAGAGCAGGACATGTAAATTTTCCTCCCGTGCTCCCAGTTGCCTTTTAAGTAGCTAAGCTACCCCTCCTTAGAAAAGGGAAATTATTTGCTCCTGTTCCTCTGCTCCCAGTGGAGCTTAATGTTAAGGAA